CCCCAAAACCCCAAAACCCCAAAACCCCAAAACCCCAAAACCCCATGTACTTATCTAATGGCTAAATTATTAATAAAATTAATGATAAAATTGTTGTGTATAAATCATGTGACTATGTATAATGAACTATCTCTAAATTTACAGTAGTTTATCATTAAATATAAAATTCTCTGTTCATTCAATCCATATACTTTAAATTCTTTGCAATGTAGTCCTTCCAATCTCTCTAATGAACTTTTTCATTCTAAAATATCCATTAAAATACATTCAAAATCTTACCTTGGCATTGTTGAATAGTTCCTCGATACTTATATACTATTATAATGCTTGTTATTGATCCTCTTTCTTCAGATACTTGGTGCGACCATCACTTGAAGTTGACTCTCTCTTCTTATTATTCCTCATCACATGATGCAGAGTCATCAGGAAGAATTACTGCTTTTGGAATTCGTGGCAACTAAGAGTGTTTCCATTGTTATTATTGCCTGTTACCTGAATGCTTCCTGCAAGCCCATTTGTATTGCCTCCAAAAGTCTCTTATTTCATCAAAGACGTATTGGTAGAGCTATTAGTGCTTGATTCATTATATGATTTACCGATGCACTTCATAATATACACCTGATCTTTTGGCTAGAACAGCTTGATATCAATGTTAGGTAAACTCATCTATGTCTATATCTATTGTTATTATTAAACTTATTGCTGTGAATGCAACTATTGTAAAACTTATTGCTGATAGTTATGCTTGGCTTAGTGCGAAATAGTGTTGCCACCATCGCTATTATTGGAGAAGTAATTGCTAGTGTGCTTTATCATCATCTACTATTACTGCTATTTCGAGACCTTTTTGCTCTATGCAGAGACAGTTGCTTGCGCTGTGCCATTCAGACTTGTATTGCTATTGCATGAGAAGGTATGTTTCATTGTAGCCAAGTCTTCTCTGGACTTCTTTTGCTAGACAAGCATTACTTGTGAAGAAACATGCTACATTCCAGACACTTAATTATGATATACATTTTAATCTGTATTCTACTGGCTACTATGATTATGGCTTCCATTAATGATTTTAGATAAACTTGTTGTGTTTTACTAGGTTTTTAGACTGGCTGTTGCTTTGATTAACTTACTTTAGACACTGGATACTGTAGGTGTTGACTTTGGAGTTTGATTGCTGAAAGGTTAAATGTTGCTGAGAGTATTCCTGTGAGCTGACTTCTTCTCAACTAAACAACTAAGTTTCTAGTAATTTAACAAAGCTAGCTGATTTGTAAGCAATATAACGGAGAAACTCTCTTATTAATGTCTCTACTGTGATGATAGTTTAATTAAGCTATCCTTTAACTGCTAATCAATCTCAAATAAGTGATCAATATCTCGATTACAATCTATGATTTTCTAACACATTTTTATTAGTAAATCTATTGAAGCGAGTTGAGCACTGCGACAGTTCTGCTTCTTTATTTCTTGGTATTTTGCTTTGAATGATATTAGGAGCTTTTCAAGAGAGGCATTAATGAGAGACTCTTGCTAAGGTACTCTCTCAACAGACTTTCCCAATGATTAAGAATCATTTTTGCTTTGTACGTTACTTAATGCTTGGGTTTAGCTATTTTATTATGAGGGTATGTATTCTGAGAATGTTTACTGCCTTGAATATGCTTTTCTCATAGGATCATTCTTTTTAGAGTTTTAAATGTTCAGTGCACTTGAATTATTTGACGGACTCGCAAACTCGTTAGCTGATTCCTTGCCTGAAGTTTTACTTTTAAGATACTAGTACTTGCTTTTAATCTTATGACTCTCAGTCGCAGTGGTATTCTAGCTTTTCTCTGAAGACTTCACACCATTAAGTTTAGAGTAGAATTCAGTGTCCTCTCTAGCACTATCTTTTTTGTGTGAATCTAAGATAGCTGCAGGACCGATTATAGAGTGATTGACACTGAATTTCTCTCTGTATGACTCTTGCACAGTTGAGTCGAACTGGCTACTATCACTTTAGTTATGATAAGAACTGTTCTTAGAAACTTCTACAGAGATAGTCTTTACTGGCACATTCTTTTTGTAATAAACGTCTTCCAAGTTTTTTTAAGATTACTAAGACTGCAGTGAGCTTTAAACCTTAGATTCAATGAATTTTATTCCTTCTTTGGGTTATGAAGCCAATACATCTGCTACTATCTTTTATGCTGATTACTTATTCCTAAACGCTTTTCTTTTATTTTTCTCAACTGAAAATAGAGTTGAACTCCTGCTATCTGATCTATCAGCCCTACTTTTAATAGTCTCAATAGATCTATCTCCTTTTTGGACTAAATCCTCGTCATCATCAGAGTAAACTGTGCACATCTTATCATCAATATCATTCAATTAGGGAGTCATACCCTCTGATGATCTTCTGTAAAGCATTCTGTTCTATTTAGCACTACTGCGATTGCTGCTATTATTCCCGATAACTCCACCTCCAACACTCAGCTTACTCTTCTTCTTTTAATTTGAGCCAGAATTTTAGTACCGAGTATTTGTATTCACTTACTAACTCGCATTATGATAGGCGTTAGTATTGCTTGAAATATTGTGGTTGAAGAACTGCTTGTCTGACTTATTAAAAGCTCTCTAAACCAGCAGATTGCTGTTATTCTTGGATTTCTTATTGGCACTTAGACCACCCTTTATCTTTGAAAAACTATTGACAGCAGACATAAAACTCTCTTAAGAACTTGTATAAGGATCTATGCTACTACCTCCCACATCCTGGCTGATCAAGATTCCTGGTTGGCTCTCATTTTTCTTCTCTACTTGCTTCATTTGCTATTACTGTGAAAGCTGGGACTTTAATTGCTTCTATTTAGATGATTTCGTGTTTTTATATCTGTCATTGATGGTTCCCTAGGGTGCATATCTGATTGCAGGACTTGTATCTCTATCATTTGCTTAATTTTAATCGTTCTAATAGTTTATTTTGCTTACTCTATTATGGCTTAGAAAGTTTACATTGCTTGATTATCCTCCTCTAGTTGAAGGGTTCTTCGTAAATCTTATTGCTTTAACCTCTATATCTGAGGAGCCACTTCGATTATGCTAATTATTAGACTAATGCTTAGCTGTACTTCCATGATAATGATTCATAGAAGTGAGATTCTTGTGTGTTTTGCGAGGATTACTCACCATAAAGGTGTTTAAATTGGACTGAGGATTGGTCTACTCAAAGAAATTAGGGTAATTTTTATTGCTATCTAAGGTATCAGAGTGCTTAGGGAATTTGTTCATCGAAGAAGTTACCGAGCCTGTGATTGATTTGGAGCTTGATAGAATATTGCGATTGAAATCTGGTTTCTTGGAAGGCGACATTATTTAATAGCTGTTTGGTGTGTTAGTGTTTTGATGGCTTGAACCCTCATCTTACTCAGAGAAAACGTCTGCATCACTTACAGAAGAAGTGGCGCTAGATCTCAATTCCATATCACTAGACTAATTGTCCACTTTAATCAAGTAGTCATTGCCTCTCATTTGATTACTCTGGTTGCTTTAATACTAAGAATCGTCAATGTAGACAAATTATTTTCTATGCCTGTGCAATGAACTAGTGCTTGCATTATGCTTGCTTCCATCAAGTAAATTAGCAAGTTATAGCTGTTTTATTGAAATGTTCTAAACTTCGTTGGTTATAAATTCCTTAATAAAGTTTTCAGTCATTATCAAGCTATCTTAGGTCAGCATGATCTCTTAACATATAATCAGGTTTATTTCATTTCTAATGAATCCAGAAAGGACAGTATTAGCAATACTTATGGTATCCTCTTCCAGGTTTGATATGGTGTCCACTGAGTATTAAATGATGTTAATCACGTTTCTCTTGATAATCTTAGACATGATACGCTTGTAAATACTTTCAGTAATGAGTTTTAAGATTAAGTCATCAGCCAAATGTCTCAGCCATTTCTTTAAGAATCTATTGAGAAATTGCTAATGATACAGAGAAATGGCTTTACTCTCCAAGTCTTTGTTGGTGCTCTTTTCTTTATTAATTAGCTTTTTATCCTAATTTTGACCTTCAACCAAAATCTCCAAGATCATTTGATAGGTAAACTCTGTCATAATATCATCTGATGCTTCCAAAGTTGCCACCGTTTAATTGCAAACTTGAACTGACTCAGACTGAATCCTAGTATCAATCATATTATACTAGATTTAAGCTGGGACTACATTATGAAGTATATTGCCCTCTGTAAAGTCATTAAGGCAGTTATCAAATAAAGAGTTTGCTAGCATTTAAGAGTCTCTTTCTAATTGAAGTTAAAAAGCTAGTTCTTTAATTATAAGTTAAGAAATTAATTTGTCGTAAATCCCATCCATTATTATTACATCATCAAGTGTATTAGACAAAAGGCTATTTACCATAAGAGTTTCAACTTTGACATAACTTACTACTTATTAAAACACCATAATGGAATCTTCAGCGACATCAATACAGCACATTACATTAGTTTCTTCTAAAATCTAATTGTTTATTTAAAGTGGCAGTTCTTTTTATAGATAGCTTTAAGTTTGAACTTGATCTTAAACTATCTCGTTCATAATCTCGCCCATCATTTTAGACATAAGCAGGTCAAGAGCAATGCTTTCCTCATACTCTTTCTATGTAACTTACTTAGTTTGCTCATCTATCAAAGTCTGCACTTGATCTTATAGTAGTCCTTCATTTTCGACTTCGATTATCACCATATCTACTAGATCTGTATAAATAGTCTCCTCCAGCACCTAATCGCACAATTCTTACATAAATTTCTACTCGTTTTCAATGTAAAACTCTCTCGCTTCCTTATAGCATTCTCTTAATAAATTTCTTTGGCAATTCTCAAATACCTTGCTTTTTATCTCAGTTTAAATTTCACTTTCCAAAAGCTATACATCATTTCTTATCTTTATCTCGCTTTATATTGTTTCTGTGGCAATCTCCTTAGTATCATTCTTTATTTAGACTTCAATTACATCAGTTACCAACTCGTCTTAGACAAGAGTCTAGTCAAAGTTCAATCCTAATATTTAATTTAGAAAATGATGATTCAGCAACTCCTCTACTAATTTATCTGCTGCTTCTAACTCATTATGGTCATATTCTATTTTATGAAGCAGATTTTCTCCAATAATCTCAGTAGCAATTAAATTCATAAGCTTGTCAACTACACTATCAGAAGTGTTTTGGATGGATTCCTCAATTTGCAATAGTCTTAGTTCCTCATTTTTTAAAAGTCTTTATTCCTCAATGTGTTATGCTTATATCCTTTCCTACTCTAATAGTAATTATTTTTACTCTTCAGCAAATTACTATTCAGCTTCAATTGCTATTTCATTAATCAGCAGTTCAGATTACTCAAGGAAAGTTTACTCATAAATATCAAAATGCCAATTAAGATCTTCTTAAACAGCCAAGGACATGTCAAGGGATTGATTCACCGATTATGCGTCCATTATGCTTACTTTGATTGGCGATTCCTCTTTTTAAGGGCTTTGCTGAATTTGGTAGTCGGACTCATTCTCCTCACTCTCTTGGTTGAAATTATTTTCATCATCATCATCATCATTTTAATGCAGATATTAATCTAGTTCATTTCCAAATTATAGCGAATTTTAGCTATCTTCAAAGTTTTACTTAAAGTCCTCCTAGGTAATTTGGCTTAGGCAATCATTAGTCAGATTCTTGGATTCTCTCAAAATTACTGTTTAAATTATCAAGCCTGCTTCATTAGCTATGTATATTTCTGAGATTACCTCCTAAATGACATATCGTAAGCCCCATTTGACAGACTAATCTACTATCTCATTCCTAATGTTCATCATATCATTGATGAAATTGGCTTCTACGTATGACTAGTAGACTGTGAATATGGTGGCCTCTCTGATGAAAGCATCGACCACCTGCACCAGTTATTCTCGAGAACGCCTGCGACGCAGATTTTACCTGCGCAAATCATTTTTAGATAATTATTAGCCATCTTTAACAGAAGCCCCATCGGTATCATCGCAAAGAATTAAAGACTGCCTCTCTCCAGGTGCCTTGGTTTTAGATCTGTGCTAAGTTACGTTGTGAGAATTCTTGTCCTGGCCATAGTGAGATGAAGTTTACTAATCAGAACTGGAAATTTGCGAGATTCTGTTCTCATCATTAGAACTATGGTTGTTCTCTGATAGCACATTTTAGTTTGAGTCGATTTAACCATCCATAGCGATACTAAACTCACTTATTTTTTGCTGATCAATCATTAAAGACTTTCTTGATTCACAGGCAGTTTCAAAATCAAGTGGCTGGTAGTAAGGATCTGGCGTGGAAAATAAAATATCGTCGTTGGCAGGTATAGACATTTTTAGTTCGAATTTGATTGTTAAATGATTTAAATTCTACTTTATATAATTTCGCTTTATTTTTATTCTTTACTTTTATTAATAGCTTGAATATTTTACTTTTCGGGGTTTTGGGGTTTTGGGGTTTTGGGGTTTTGGGG